TTTATATTTGATCCAGCCGTGAAAAATAAATAGTTTATTATTTATTGTTTCTTGTATTTCTACGATTGGCTGCAAATTAACACTCAAGAATATATCTTAACGTCGAACAAAAAAATCTAAAAAATATGATTTTATATATGGTTACATAAAATTTGCTATTTTGAGTTTGATATCTCATAACACACATAATGCTGAAATTCTGCATAAGGTAATAACATGCATCTATGTAAATATTAACTTCCCATAGGGTAAGTTATAATAATTGCAAAAAAATCGAAAATGATTTTTTTTATATATCTTTACGTTTCAAGGCTCCGGAACATTTTGGCATACTTCAGAAAACTTGGATGTATGTGTGTGTATGTGCAGATACAATTTTCCATCTACAATTTTAGGAGCATGGATAAACCATCTTGAATGATTGAAAACACATTTAATTCCAATTGACAGGTAGACGGCAGATATAGTCTTTTCAAAGATACGGGGAAAAAGTGCAAAAACCGTCAATTCAATTTTTGAGAGAACGGAGTGGTTAATTTGAATGGTTTAAAAAATATTTCAGTCGTGTTGACGGAATAAAATATAAATTAAGTTTATAAGGCAAGTCCAGCGATTTTGGAGATCCGATAAAAAAGTTACACACACACATGCATCAATTCTTTCTATGATATGCCAAAATGTTTAGAAACTTTCGATAAGTAAAGATATGCAAAAATTTTTATTTTCGATTTTTTGCGATTACTATAACGTACCCTACATGAAGTAAATAAGTATACTGTGAAATAATTTTACTTCGTACAATAATTTCTAATATGTTAAAAAAATAATAATCAATAATTGTTCCAAATATTTTTAGAAACATTAATTCAAATTATCTTAAATATATTTCTTGAAAATTTTGAAATTTTCGATTTTTTAAAGTTTTTATAGAATACGGAAATTTAGAAATTTTTCGAATATCTTGATATTTTTAACTTCCCGTAGGGCAAGTTATAGTAATCGCAAAAAATCGAAAATGAAAATTTTTATATATCTTTACATTTTAATGGTTTTTGAACATTTGGCATACTTTAGAAAAAATGATTGTATATATGTGTGTGTGCGGATAAAAATTTTCGTTGATGATTTCGGGAACACGGATTTGAATAATTAAAAAAAACATTCGATTCATATTGATAAGGAGACGAGCTAATTAGTTTTTGACGGAGGCAGGTCTAGCCGTTCCGAAGATACGGGGCAAAAAGTGCCAAAAACGGTAAATCAATTTTTAAGAGAACGGGGCGTCCGATTTTAATAATTCAAAAAACATTTTACTTTTATTGACAAGCTGAAGATCTGATTAAATTTTTGGGAAGGCAGGTTTAGCGGTTATAGACTCTCAATAAAAATAAGTTAAAAAAATGTCATTTGGCGGTCAAAAATGTTTATTGAACTAATTCACATCAAATTATCAGATATCTTATAGAGATTTTCATAATATGTAATTTTTTTTGGGTTTCGTACAAAATTTTTTGATTATGGTACGGAAAGTTCCAGCAATTTGCATTGAGGCACGATGCCATGCACCCCACTAGTTGAAAACTTCGAATCATTCTGAAAGTTTAAAAATCAATTTTGTAAAAAAATATGCGATTTTTTTGTATGAAACATTCAAGTCACTTTATCCATATTAGGGAATATGTTTGATCTATATAAGTGAACTTCAAAAACTAAAAATCTTGATACGGAACCCAAAAAATGTAAACAAAATTTGTATGCATTATTAAATTCTCTAAATGTCCAATGATCATTTTTGACTAACAAATAGCATTTTCCCTGTTTTTTGAGCAGATCTCCGAAACCGCTGGACCTGTCTTTCCAAAAATTAAGCAAATTAAGTTTACATTCCGTCAATACAAGAAAAATCATTCATCATATGCTCAATGATCATTTTTGACCACCAAGTGTCATTTGCTAACTTTTTTGGAATCTCGAAAATATCTTTTTTCTCCCAAAAATTTTATTCAATTTTTTGATCCGTCCGACAACTTAAATATTTTTAGAATCATTTCTGTTCTCTCAAAAACTGAAATGCCATTTTTTGGCACTTACTCTACGTAACTCCGGAACAGTTAAACCTTTGTCAAAACTGCTTAGCACGTCTTCCCATCTATAGGAATCGTATATTTTTTGAATCATTCAAATCAATTGATCCGTCTCAAAAGCTCTTCAAAAAAATTCAGATTTTTCAAATGTGTTCAAAATTTTCAAAGAATGAAACTTTTATTTTTAAAAGTTAAATTACGGTACCTTACCTTAAAAAACTATGCTATACACAACTAGTTTATTAACTTCCCGTAGGGCAAGTTATAGTAATCGCAAAAAAATCGAAAATGAAAATTTTTGCATTTCTCGACGTTTCAAAGGTTTCTGAATATTTTGGCATACCTTAGAAAAAATGGATGTATGTGTGTGTGTGTCTGTGTATGTGTGTGTGTATGTGCGTGTGTATGTGCGTGTGTGTATCGTATGTGCGGATACAAATTTTCGTCGACGATTTCGGGAACACGGATCAACCGATTTGAATAATTCAAAAAACATTCGATTCGTATTTATAAGGAGACGTGCTGATTAGTTTTTGGCGAAGGCAGGTCCAGCCGGTACAAAGATACGGGGCAAAAAGTGCCGAAAACGGTAACTCAGTTTTTAAGGGAACGAAGCGTCCGATTTGAATAATTCAAAAAACATTTTACTTGTATTGACAAGATGAATAATTGATCAAATTTTCATGAGGGCAGGTCTAGCGGTTTCGGAGATCTAACAAAAAAAAATAAAAAAAATGCCATTTAGCTGTCAAAAATGATCATTAGACATATGCACATCAAATTATCAGATATTTTATAGAGATTTTAACAATAAGTATAAATTTTGTTTACATTCTTATGGGTTCCGTACCAATGTTTATCCGTTAGACAGCAATGCGGCGCTTACGCGCTTTATATTTTGTCTCTATGCAGTTAAAGCAGGACGGTTGCTTTGAAAAAAAAGTTCCAAAATATGTCAAAATAAAGACAACATTTTTAAAAAAAAAAAAAATTAAAAAATAATTGTTTTTTTTTTGAAAAAAATTTTTTTTCACTAAAAAGTAATCTTTTGTCCAATTTATAGTTTCTCAGAAATCTAATTTTTCCGAAGTAATTTTTTTTCAAAAACGTTATTCGTTTTTGATAAAATAATAATTTTTGATACGGGAAGTTCCAGCAATTTGCCTTAAGGCACAATGCCATGCGCCTTAAGGCACGATGCCCTAATTGCCTTAAGACAGAATTCCACTTACAGCTAGTCTTACTCTTCACATTAAATAGCATTACTTACTTAACGCATATTATTCCTTGTTGACCCGTGTTTGTGCTTCACACCATATCCAGTGTTATTGATTTATGTTTTATCTTTTAAAAATTAAATATTAAATAAAATAATATATAAAACATACCATGGAATGTAAAAACTGAATAAAATATAAATAAGCCTGTTATGTCAAAAAACTTCAAATTGAAACAAAACACATAATATGAGAATATGATTTTGTAGCGCATAAATTATGTGATAGAATTTTATTTAATTCAGTAAATAAAGTGTACCTTCATTTATACATAAGATAGAACTAATGTATTAATATTATAATAAAAAATGCATTTCACCGAAATTAATGATAATTTTTGCGATTTTAGTGATAAATCTCATTTATATTTCTTGTAAATTATTGAGGGGTATAGTACATTACATTGTTAATGAAGCATATGTATTACTCATCTTGCCTATATATATATATATATATATATATATATATATATATATATATATATAATTGCTCTTTGAATGTTATATTTTTTTAAATAACTATACGTTCTTATAAGGTATTTAAATGATTTTAATAGTCATTCACGGATATTGCAGTTTATAAATACATTGCAGTTATATTCATAAATTGTATGATATTAATGAAATGATGTTACATCTAGATATCCATGCCGAAAAAAACATCCCATCTGTCACTTACCCTGTTTTATTAAACAAATATTTGTTCAAAATTTGGTTTGAATTTTTTACTTTTGAAAATTTAAGGTTCTAAATTAATAGTTTTTTTCTCTAAATTTGGTTAACGATTAGTAAGTGAAAACTTAGTAATTATTTTGCAGTTTCTATATTTTGTGAATTATTGAAAGGTATATTATTTTATTAATGAAGCATAAGTATTACTTACTTTTACTTTATATTTAGCAAAATTCCGTTAAGACGATTACACCTGGAGAAGGCGTTAGAATATTATCCGCGGACAGAAACAAAATGTTTCAAAGTGCAGGAACCGGCGTAAAGTGTTATCGTAAAGTTAAATCGTATTAAACATAATCGTCTTAATGGGATTCTACTATAATTGCTCATTGAATGCTATATCTATTATGTCATATTCGAATATCTTGTAACCACACTTTGTAATTAAAATGTATTTTAAAATATTTTGTATTCATGGTACTAGCACAAAGAAAATTGCTGTTAAATGTAGTAAAACATACAAAATGAAGTAGAAAAAATATTGGCATTTTCAAATTAATATAATTTTAATCAACTATGAATTTCAATTTGATGCATTGAAAAACGTAACTCGCTTTCGAGGTATTCGTAAACAAAGAATAGTTTTGTTGAGAGGGGGAACACCTCTCGTTTGCCTTAGTAATACGTAGAGATTTCAAAAATTACCTCCTTCTCTGACCAAACACTACTTGTATTTTTAATACATACCTAAAAAAAATCGTGAATTTTTTAAAAATTTTAGGAAAATTTAAATTGAGATAAAAAATAAATACACGTGATATTTCGTGATTTTTTGTCGAAACCCCCTCCCCCTCCCTCCGTAAGGCTCACGTGATTAATGGACGCCACAAGCACTCTAAGATGCTTTCGATAAAGAATTTTTTTTTTATTTACTTACCTCATTAGTGGTTAATTTATAAATAATTTAGCATTTTAGTCATCGCAAAATGTTGTCGACCGCAAATGCTCGTCGCGTGGACTATTTGGCCGTTCGAAAACGGTCAAGTATGGATGACATGATTGAAGGCGTAGCAAAGCCACCGGGCTCTGTTCCCCTGAACGGTGCCCCGATATGGCCGCGTGTGCCCCTAGGTGCTAAGTTGCCGGTGCCTGAACGCATACCACCAGGAATTGTCGAATTCTCACGCAACAAAGTCGGGGTTGATGTAAGTTTCTTCTCATTTTAGAAAATAAGTAAAGAAACTAGTGCTGCCTTACGGCAAATTGCTGGAACTTTCTGGCAAATTGCTGGAAAATTTATAAAATTATATATTTTTTTAAATTAGATTTTTGAGAATTTTCAAAGTTTTGAAAAAAATGGACTTTTTAGAAAAAAAATGATTTTTTTCTTTTAAAATATTTCGACTTTTGAAAATTTGAACTTTTTAACTTCCCGTAGGGTAAGTTATAGTAATCGCAAAAAAATCGAAAATGAAAATTTTTATATATCTTTACGTTTCAGAAGTTTCTGAATATTTTGGCATGCCTTAGAAAAAATGGATGTATGTGTGTGTGTGTATGTGTGTGTGCGTGTATGTATGTGTGTGCGAATACAAATTTTCGTCGACGATTTCGGGAACGCGGATGAAGCAATTTGAATAAATTAAAAAACATTCGATTCGTATTGATAAGGAGACGTGCTGATTAGTTTTTGGCGGAGGTAGGTCTAGCCGTTCCAAAGATATAGGGCAAAAAGTGCCAAAAACGGTACCTTAGTTTTTAAGAGAACGGAGGGTCCGATTTTAATAATTCAAAAAACATTTTACTTGTATTGACAAGATGAAGAATTGATCAAATTTTCATAAGGGCAGGTCTAGCGGTTTCGGAGATCTATCGAAAAAAGTAAAAAAAAAAGCCATTTGGCGGTCAAAAATGATCATTAGACATATGCATATCAAATTATCAGATATTTTATAGAGATTTTAACAATAAGTATAAATTTTGTTTACATTCCTATAGGTTCCGTACCAATGTTTACCCGTAGACAGCGACGCGGCGCTTACGTGCTTTATATTTTGTCTCTATGCAGTTAAAGCAGTACGATTGTTTTGAAAAAAAGTTCAGATCTTCCAAAATATGTCAAAATAAACAAAACATTTTTTTTTCAAAAAAAAAAAAAAAAAAAAAATTTAATTTTTTTTTTTAATTTTTTTTTTCAAAAAAAAGTAATTTTTTGTCCAATTTATAGTAATTATATTATATTTTTTCAAAGTATTTTTTTTTTAAAAATGTTAATCGTTTTTAAAAAAATAATAATTTTTGGTAAGGGAAGTTCCAGCAATTTGCCTTAAGGCACGATGCCCTAATTGCCTCAAGACAGAATTCCACTTACAGCTAGTTTTTTAACCAATTGCGCTGCGTTAGCTGCGTAGAAATGAAATATCTATGCGCATAAGCGCCGCGTCTCTAACGGAAAAACATTCGTACGGAACCCATACAAATGTAAACATTTGTACTTATTAAAATCTCTATACAATATCTGATCATTTGATGTGCAAATGTATAATGATCATTTATGACCGCCAAATGGCAAATTTTTTAAACTGTCTGTAGGAAACTCAAAAACTGAATTACCATTTTTGGCACTTTTTGCCCCCTATCTTCGAAACGGTTGGACCTGATTTTTACAAAAACTAATCAGCACGCCTCCCCGTCAATAGAAATCGAATGTAGAAATCACACACACGCATACATCCATTTTATCTATGGTATGCCAAAATGTTGAGATTTACCTTTGAAACGTAAAACTATAAAAAAAATATTTTCGTTTTTTTGCGATTACTATAGCTTATGTTAATAATAACCTTACGAAAAGTTAATGATTAGAATGTTCCTAGTGTTTAATAGATCGGTATTTTTATTTAATTAATTGAAATTTCAAGGCCTGTAAATCAAACTTTTTTTCAGAAACTATTCTAAACCACGTACTTATATGTTAAATTATCGATTTTACAATGATTGTTGAATCTTATTATTTGCTGGATATTGAAAAATATTCTACGATATTAAAATTTTAGTTATTATTTACTACTTTTTTGTACTACTTATTTTTGTACAAACGAGCATACTTTTAAAAGCACTCATATTTATAATTGTAAATCAAGATTGTTAATTCAATTTGTATATATATTATTGCGATATAATAAAATAAGAATTTCACACAAATTATGTGTCATTTTAGCTATGGAAAACTAAAGATAAACTGGACTTCTCAATTTATGACCCTAACGGTTATGAATTTCGTTCGGAATATGATCCATTGCATGATCCAAATCTAAGACACTATTTTAGAAATAACATATGTACTATTGAAAGATTACAGCAACTCGGGTAAGTGTTTCTGAATATATTAAAAAATAATAAAAAGTATTACGATTTTATATTGTTCTATATAAAGTATGTAACATAATACATACTGCTTCTTTCTTTAACGACCGTGTCCAAATTCTAGCTATCGTTAAAACTCGAAAAATTTGAGAATTTAGAGAATAAATTATGTCTAACTGCAGCCTTACCATTTCACTTTTTCTTAAAAGTACTTAAAAGATGCACTTTTATATTAGAAATTTTATACCACTGGAGTGACCAGTAGTGTGACCATCGATTATTGCTTGAAATGATGACAAATTCCTGCATTTTATATATTGCAATTTATTAATTCATTAAGTAGTTGATTATTTTGATTTGAAAGTGCATCAGATAAGTTATCGTTCTAAGACTGATGGTTAAACTTGTATTTTATGCATTTTAAGATATAAAATTCAGAGAATTCTCACTAGATAAATATAATTGTACGCATATATATAGCAAAAAAAATAAAAAATGATAGAAATATTAATCTAATATAAAAAGAAATAATTGGTCACGTTCGTTTTGAGCAATCGTGTACCTAGAATTATATAATAAATTATTATCATAAAGTTATTTTAAAGAATTTTAACAGTCGCATAATTGTAGTATAGTACTTAAAAATATCAAATGTATTTACACATTAAATAAAATATGATAAATTTAAATAAAATAAAATTTAGTAAATATATGGAATAGTAATTTTTCGTTTTATTAGTAAATTAAATTGTGAATAAATTATATTAAAATTAATGTTTCTTCCTAAAGATTCATAACACCCACATATGGTGCTACTTGCTCGTTAAAGAAGTTTAATGAATACAGAAGATTTTTAAATAGGATACATCAATACTATGTCGAGAAAGAAAGAAAGAGACTAGTAAGTTTTATTAAATATGGTAATAAAAAACCAACCAGCATATATATATATATATATATATATATATATATATATGTATATATATATATATATATACAGGGCCGGCCCTGGGGTACTCAGCGCCCGCATGCCAATTTTTTTCTAGCGACGCCCCCCCCCCCGCTATTAATAAACATGTTGATTTTTTAAATAATTTTTAATAAATCTGGATTTAGTACACAAAAAATTAGGTATAATCTAAATGCGCATAAAATACATTGATTTTAAATTTATTTAGAAGATCAAAGCGATTTTACGGGTATTCATAATCTTTTAGTGCCTTTTATCATTGTCGCACTAAGTATCGAACTGTTTTTAAATTCTTATTTTCAATACAAACTTTTTCGGACATCCAAAAATTTCATCATGTTCATTAATGCTTGCGAGAATATGATTAAATTTTTATTTAATTCTAACTTATGTGTAAAATTAATATTTGGATTTTTAAACATATTACCTGTTTATTTGGGATTTTGTGCGATTTATTCTATTGAGCAAACCATAAAGAGCGATTTATTCTATTGAGAAAACCATAAAAAGGTAGTCTCTCATTGTTAAACATAACACTGGTACTTTATGTATAATTATTTTAATTTAATTTTTCACTTTTTAAAATATCCAAAATTGCATCGTAAACTTCTCCAAATTGATGTCGTAAGGGCCGAATTATACTTTATGTATAATTATTTTAATTTAATTTTTCACTTTTTAAAATATCCAAAATTGCATCGTAAACTTCTTCAAATTGATGTCGTAAGGGCCGAAGTGTATGTATTTATCTATACTTTCTCACCATGTATCAGATTGTTGTTTTGAAGTTAAATTCAAAAAATATTTTTCAAGATTAGTAAAAGATGCAAAGAAATCACATATTTCATGAATGATCTTGAAAAAACTTTATTATAAATTTCATATCCGAATCTCATTTTGGCGCCCCCTAAGCCTGCATTTTTGCATACATCGCATTCAAGGTAAGACCGGCCCTGTATATATCCAGGAGAAAAAATCCAGGAATTGCCTATTATATATATATATATATATGTGTGTATATGTGTGTATATATATATATTTATATATATACAGAGTGCCCCAGACCTTGATGTCCAGCCAAAATGGAATGACTCTTACTGTCCTGAAAAAAATTTGACAAATAAATTATCTTGCATTATTTGGAAATTATGAGCTTTCAAGTGCAACCTGAGGCTTTGGTGAAATTATAACCATTATTTGTTTATTGTCATTATTTTTTTACTAATTTTGTTCATTCAAAGATTGGTACCGTAACCGCGAATAACATTTCTAGGACCACAATCAAAAACAATAACACAATTGCCCCAAATTTTCAAGAATTAAGAATTGTTGCTGAACTATGAATTTAAAATTTTGGATTGTGAGCCTAAAAATGTTATTTACGGCTACGGTACCAAACTTTGAATGAACTGAAACGAAATGAAATTAGTAAAAATTAACTACAATAACCAAGAAATAGTCATAATTTCACCAAAGCTCTACGTTGCATTTTAAAAACTTGTAATTTCCCAGTAACGTAAAATATTTTTTTTATCTAATTTTTTCAGGGCAGTAAAGTTTAATACTATCATCCTATTTTGGCTTGACGTCAAGGTCTGGAACACCCTGTATCTATATTATATATTGTATGATAAATTTTATAATTTGATTATAGCTAAATGCATAATTTGATTGTTCGTGGTTATTATTGTCTCATATCATGTTTTTAAAAATATTTTTTAATTTTGAAAATATAATCAAAGTTGTTTAAATTTTAGGCAGAGGAAACACTGCTTGCAAATTTGCTTGCAAATGCTGATGAAAATAACAAAAAAGAGGAAGAGCGATCCGCCAGGCAAGCGCAGATTGATGCGATGCGTCAAAATGCTAAACTGCGCCTGGACCGGCTTGCAGAGGAGAGAAGAGTAAGGTAAAATAAACTTCTGATAAGACTTGGTGGTCAATTAACTCACCTTCAGTTAAATAGTTCGGATCATATTCTATATGCTATATCATATTCAGGGTTTCATTCCCCAGCCAACTTTGGTATAATGAAATTGAGTCTAAATCCGTAACGAGTTGCAGAAAATTAACATTACAGAAATATATCCTTAGGAATTATAACTATTTAATTAGCTTTTGTTAATTTCTATTTGTGTTTTTTTATTTATTTTATTGATATAGTGACTTTATTAATATTCACAAATTTTATATGGGTAACGATTTCCAAACATAACTAATAACTCATTTTAATTATTATTCCGATAATAGGATAGTAAAATAAAATTTCAAGCCATTGTGCAATAATTTTCTTTAATGTTTTTCAAAAATTAAATATTGAATAATTTGCTTTGAAATGACTTTTGACCTCATATTTTAAAGATCACTTTCTAATTTAAAATCTGGCTTGAACTTAGTAAATATATTTTCCTTTAAATGTTTTGTGGGCATTTGGCTCCGGGTTTTTGAGTACCATTTTTAAAATCGTTTTATTTCCAGACAAGCGGAAAGGGAGCGGCGTTCTGCTTATGCCACGAAAAAGTTAGAGGAACGTATGCAAAAGCAACAAGCTAATGCCATGGAAGCTGCCAAATTACAAGTAAGCATTTTCTAACCTCCCGAAGGAGATGTTTGTTTTTGTCAGAAAATTCCATTTTATTTATAAACCTTTTATGGTTTCTTGATGTTTCGAGTCAATCTAAATCGTTTAAGACCAAATTTGGAAAAAATATGTTTATGTGTATGTGAACCAATTTCTAAACATTCGTATTAATTTTAGTAATTCAAAAAAACTTTTTGAAAGATGTTGGCTGAAAATCGTACTGATCAGTTTTTGGTAAAGATCGGTCGAGCAGTTTCTTCGTAATTAAATGTATTAACAATTTTTTGGCGTTTTCAATGAAACTTAACATGACGATAGAAGTAATGATCAAAACAAACATTCTAAAATGTTAGAGCACTAAAATAGTAGTTTAGAGATTTATTAAAGTTCTGAAAAAAGGCTACGCTTTTGAGACACACAAGCGCGTGTTAACCCTTTAAGGACGAGCGCCTCATATATGCGTTTCACAAATTGGTGAATCATCAAATTGGCCGAAGAACTCATATATGCGTTTGGAGAAGGCAGTTGTTAAAGCCGAGAAACGCATATATGCGTCACACCTAAATGTTAATAAGCAAAACTGAATAGTTAATGAACAAATTTTATTTACGATGTAAGGAATATGTGTATATAAATATAATATATATGTCCAGGGATGCTAGAACTTGAGTTAGAGTGCCAGAAATATGCATTGGCAATAATTAAATGATTAAGGCGGCAGGATCTCGTCACCACTGTACGGTTTACTTCAAACCGTTCCGTCCCCAAAGGGTTAATTTAGTACAATTACAGATAGATTATAAGTTTGTTTGAATAATATCAATTAGAAATCTTACTCATTACTTTTTCTGTATGTTCTTATTAATTAATTCTATTGTTTACAACCATGGAGATGTTTATACAACTTTCTTCAAACCATTCATTAGTAAATAATTTGGTCTCAAAATATATGCAACAAAACAACAATTGCTTGCATAAAAAGTAAAATACAATAACGGTCACACTGCGCAATATTATTATGCCACACTGCATAATAAACTAACACTTCATTTTAATACATGCCTATACCTAGTGTCAACAAAGTATCGAAAATTGTTTCATAAAACTCAAAATAATTGCTGAATCATTAATATTTTTTGTCGTCGTTAAAATGGTAGTCATGAACACATGCATACAATTAATTCAATCGTCAAAAGTACTTATTTAAGGTCTTTAAAAAGATCGTCTTTAGCTCTCTCGGCGATTTTTTCTTAGGGGCAACTATTGACCCAAAACGACAAGTCTTGCGCCTGACAAGTGGCAATTTAAGGTTTGGGATTAGAAATGATTTATAAGGAGATAGATCTGGTAAATACGCTTGTTGTCTTAGACACAATCAATTGAATTATGAAATGACATAAAACTTTCATTTAATATTTTTTATTTACCGTAAAACCATCTAGAACGATTTCTGAGTGCACAACCCTACCATAATTGACTTAGGCGACTATTTGATCCATTGAAGAAGTTGATGCACGATCAGATCTTCCACGACTTCTCGGCCAACGACTTACAGCACGCATGAGCCAGGATTTTTGATAGAGGACAGTCGTCATTATATAATTTTCAATAATTCGGCTAATAAAATTCCGTTCAAAACACGAAATTTAAAAGTATTTGTTGTTTAGTTTTGCTCACTACAAAAATCGCCAAACACGGCTGTAGTTAACCTAATTGAATAAAAATAACAAAATAATTGGCCGTTGGCAATCAAACTTTAAACAAATATTAGGAACAGTTGTGCCAGCATCTCAGCGAAAATAAATAACATATGCTCGGCAGCCTCCTTTTAAATCAGCAATTACCGGTATTTAGTTGACAGTATATATTTGTAATTTAATTAAGAAATTAGTGCCACTCCTCATTCGATAATCTATATATTATTTTATAGACATTAAAAATAGCCCGAATGCAACTAATGTCCAGCGAGATACAAAGACAACGTGAAGTTGATAACAAAATAAGAAGAAGAGAAAGAGAATTTCGTTACCGACAAAAGAAGAAAGAAGAGTTGAAGGAAAAGAAATTCTGGGAACAGATGAGGGTGAGATTTTTTAGAATTTCAGTAGTATCTTCGGAAGAAATGTAAATAATGCTAATGCCGTTTATTGCATAATAAATAACTGATGAATCGGTATGTAGGCTAAGATTCCTTCAGTCGTATCCCGGCTAATTTCGTTCGATAATTTTAAATTACATTATCTGATATCGCTAACTATTATTTAGTTGAGTGCAAAGCTTTACAATTAGAATGTTGCCAGACTTTGTAAAATAAAAATAGTGAAGGCTTTTTATAGAAGTTCTACTTATATTTTTGGCTCAATAGTGAATTATATTATAACAAGATCCTGACATTTTTTTCTTGCCAATGATAGAATTAAATGGTAGTAGACTTGTGCAAAATTCCTTGCTCGTAAGGGTTTCATAGAGAACTTTTTGTGTTTTGTTTTTGATAAATACGAGTTTAATCTTACTTCTAATTTAATTCGTTTGGTTATAAAGAACACTTACGCGAATTTAAATGTAAAATACCATGACATCAGTCACAATATTAGTGTTTCCCATTGCTCAATTTGGAAATGACCAAGTTTTGGTGCGACGAATAAAAGCTGTATAACTATATTCATTAACAGTTTTATCTCCATTCTTAGAATTCTTAATCATTTTATAGGTACAATTTTACTGTTTTAGATTTTATTTCAATGATCAGGTTCGACATGATATCCTTTTTAGTTGTGTGTACAACTATGCTCCTTAATCGTACCGAAAGCACGTTCTTGAAAAATGTAAACGTATATGTTAAAAATAAGTCAACTAAATGAAGATTCAATTGACGAAGTTATATATTTATGATTTGATTAATTTTAGAATAATGCACGTTGGGACACACTGATTGAACGGCAAATCAACAGAATGGAGTATGAAAAACGGTTGTTAGAAAAGCAAAAAATAATGTTTGACTTTAATGTCAAAGTTCGAAAAAGGATGGTTGCTGCTCAACGAAGATGGTATGTACACAATGACTAATTGTATTATTCCTTTTTAGTATTATTTTCTGAAATTTATATTACTTTTGCTTTATGGATTTATTGGGTAAATTATTGGGATTTATATGTTAATTTATACATTTTAGATATAGTTGTTGGAATTAATTCGTAGCATTTTTCGTGATTTATTATGGACTAGCTGTACCCGTTCACGCTTTGCCGTGATTTAGTTTAAATTAAAAAGTTGAACAAAGATGTGTATTTGTTGCATTTAGTTTAACCTTACTACTATCTGTTCAACAATTTACCTATTCAACAATTTGTCTACTAATTTACCTATCAACCTGTTTATCAATCTATCATTTTACCGGCCTACAAATTTACCTGTCACCCCGTTCTACATGTCTACCCCTTAACTTTTCAACCTGTTTATTTGTCTACATATTCGTCTATCTACCAGTTTTTTTCTGTACCACTTTAAATATCCTCCAATTTACCTGTCCACCAGTTTACCTTTATAAATTCTCTAATTTACCTTATTCATTTACGCATTATAAAAAAAATTAAGCTCAAATTGATTCTACGTTTTAGTTAGAAAACGTTTGTATGTGAAAAAGAAAAGGGCTGTTTTTAGGGTTTTCCCGGCAATTATTCTATTTTTTCTCGCTGTAAGAACCATCCTTGGACTTCAATAAACATTTTAAAAAAGAATTCGCCAAATTGGTCTAGGCGTTGTTGAGTTATGCGCTTACCAACACATTTTGCGATTCATTTTTATATTATACTAGCTGACCCGACAGACTTCGTCCTGTCAAAAAAATTTACCAAATTGGTTCTGATTGCTCTGTTGATCTTTCAAGGTTCTGTCTAAAGCATCAAAAAAATTTTATGTGTCATTGTGCATTCGTCCCAAACAATCAATTGATATTGCTGCAAAACCTTAGCCATTGCAGAGTTTTTCGAAATGTTGCAAGTTGGAATTTCATTGCTTTGCATATTTAATGGCAATTTTAGTGCTGAATGGGCTGTTCGACCACCTTCGAGTAAAGTTGCTGCGATTCCCGATAAAGCGAGTGCAAGTGCAATTTTGTTTTGTGAGCAAATTATTGCTAATACTAATAAAATCAAAAAAGTTTTTCCTGTACCACCAGGCGCATCTAAGAAGTAAATCCCTTCAGTTCCATCATTTGTTACTTTCATAAGAATATCAAATACATACCTCTGTTGTTCATTCAACAGTGGAAGATTTGTTTCGATTAATTCTTTCAACTTGTTGAAATCATACAGTTTTTCTCGATGCAACTCTTAGTTAAAAGCGTCAAAGGAATGATGTTGGGCCACGTACATTGACTAATAGCAGTCGTAAATAAAAACATTCACCATGGCTTGAATGTACTGAATAAATTCGATCAATCGCATCAGTGGAATATACATCTGTGTATCCTGGTATTGGTTTTCCTTGTTTTCTTCGTATAACTTTGATTCCAAGTATAATATTTTGGCGTTTCAGAATATAGCAGAGTTTGTGCAAAATTATCGTTTTGACATGTCTCAAAAAAACTTGTAATGGAGTAGATGGTGGCTGAGCAACTCTTTGACCTGCGTTCACTGCTGTAAAGTACACCTTTTGCTCATTTTTTAAGTGCACAGCTAAGTGAATAACAGAAAGGTGTCTCTCATGAATTGGAAAAGAAAATATTCGCCAAATTGCTTCATTACGACTAACATAGCGGCTCATTTGTGTCATGTTCTTGTGCAGTACGATTAGATCGGTCATTAGCTTGGTTTGTAGCATTTCGTGTTCTTCTACTTAGATTTCCTCGTGTTATAGAAGGCAATATTAAAATATTGTGTCACATGCAATAACTTTTTATTCATAGGTAGATAACAAAACACTACAAACAAAACAAAAGCACACTAAGTAGAGTATAACAGAAAACGCACGAAAAACACCACCGGCAAAAGCGGCAAATGGACATTGACATTGATTTTTTTAATCTTATATGACTTGAAGTCAAATTCTTTAACGACATACCAATTTTATCGCCTGCCGAAAGTAAAACAAAAGAAATAATATCGAGAAGCCGACTACGATTATTTATTAGTTAGGAAAGGGCTGTTTTTAGGGTTTACCCGACGATTATTCGAATTTTTCTCGCCGTAAGAACCATCCTTGGACATCAACGAACATTTTAAAAAAAGAATTGGCCAGATTGGTTCAGGGGTTGTTGAGTTATGCGCTTACCAACACATTCTGCGATCCATTTTTATATATAAGATTAGTATCATTACAATAGCGATATTCAAAGTATTGTTCATCGTTCATTATTATTTTTCTTGTCGCCCGAGCCAAATTTCCATTTTTGACCCGCGAAAACCACTTTCTGCATCTTTGCTCAGTCACTAAATTATGATGTTTTTCTGCGGCACTTTTCATCATATTTAGAATAGTGAATTAACACTCCCCGCAAAATCGATTTTTCAGGCACAAACATCGACATGTTTATTAGAGTAGAGCGGTGCTATCTCAAAAACAAGTTAAGAATTTTTTAGCAACAGTATTTGAAAGTAGAAGGAAAAAGATGCATAATCATCGATCACCTTGGTTATTTTGCCGACGCTATCAGAAGCAAACGGCAGTTTTAAAATCCATATCAAAAATATTTTTCTTCGTTGTTAATTTTTTAGGCTGTGGGCTCTTGTTCAGTTTGCGAGACCTTAAGTTGTTTTAATTTATTTATCACTCCGCTGGTAAATATTGCTGACAAAATACCAAATTAAGGTTCACAGTGTTATCTCTGTAAGAAAATGTAGTCAATTTATATTTAGTATTGGTTGAATAATGTAGCTATTATTTCGTAAAATCCCTTTAAAATTAGAAATGAGACATTGGGTGTGTTTGCCCTCTGACCGTCTCATTTTAACCCGTCTATGGGGTAAAAAGAACCAGGTGATAAAGACCTAATAATATATTATAATACTATATATTATTTTATAATATTCCCTTTAGGTTCGACAGGAAATTTGCACGAAACCGCCGTAAAACTTGTCTGTGCACAGACGATGAAAAAAAGAAAAAGAAAAAGAAAGGTTCTAGAAGTCAAAAGGATAGTGATTATAAAGATGATTATAGTAAGAATTACTGCAAGTAATTTAATTTAATCTTAAACTATATAACTCTCATTCAATGCAATTGAAGGCAATTATTTTATTGCTTAATATTAGTAATTTTTTAAGATTTTAGTTTGCACATAGTAAAATTGAATCAGTCTAAGATTTTTATAGATATCTTTGTTCATATTTTCATAGAAACTATTTTATTGTTATAAACTGAATTTGTTATAAATTTACAGATCAACTATAATAACTATTCGTATATGCGTATCTAAATTGAAGCCTAATTTTTAGTTTAATTATTTTCTATGCATTTTCATAAGGCTACGAAGATGAAAGCGATTTCGAGTATACACCTTACACTGGAGGAGATAACGATGATGACGATGACAATTTCAAAAAAAGTAAAAAAAGCTCTGAGGTATTTGTTTTTTTTTTCAGATTTCTCATATAATTAAATTGAGGAAATAAACAAACTAGGATTAATTATAATCGTTACATACATAAATATTTTCGCGCTTTAATTAGTGCACTTACAAATATATCAAAAATGCTGAAATTTGATTATTAAATTATTAATTTATGAAACTCAAAATTCAACTGATTTATAGCTTCTGCATAGCTTTCATACGATCTGTATACTCTAATATACTAATAAATTAACATTTTTATATGTTTTTTTTACTAACTTATGAAAACAAAACCTTATAATCATCGTTCTGCATCATTATCTGATTGTGAAATTCTACCTGTAAAATAATTTTATCACTTTCAATTTGCATGCATATTATATCCATGAATTAGACTACCATATGCAAACACAATAATTATAAATAATTTAAATATTAGGTCACCTATTATTTTTATTTTATTTATTAAAGCATTTTTGCAATATGTGTTTTAATATGTTTAACAGAGTATTAAGTATTTTATATAATTCACTAGAATATAATATGCATCCCACTTTACTTCATTGATAATTTTTTTTACTTAAATATATATACTTTTTTAAATTAAATTAAATATATTTAAATTAAATTAAATATATATATATATAATTTTTTTTACTTAAATATATATACTAAAATATCAAGTTTATGAAGTGGGTTAAATAAATGTTTGATATAAAATGATGATAACATGAATAAATCAATTAAAAGGCTAATTTAACAATTCGGTTTTTTTACTTACGAACTTGTAACTTTGAGAAACTTTTTAATGATGTACCTACTTATTGATATGCTTATGAAATAACATTAACAGTTTTAAATCGATCATAAATTCCAAATTCATTCTAAAATTGGTGTGATATTATTTGAACAAGTAATTAAAAAATGAAAGTTTGAACTGGTCATTATAATTTTTACTCAAATATATGCGAATTATATTAAAAATGTTATTTTTTTAATTTATATAATCTAGGAGGATGAGGAAAGAGCAATTGAAGAACGTGAAGAGGTAGTCCTGTCTGTCATTGGAGTTTACGTTAAACACAATGTTAATCGATTATTGCGAGATGTCCAGGCCAAACAGACTCAGCTCCTGCAAGGTCCTACCAAAATGTGCAACGACAATTTTTCTGGATTTGATGGTATTTAGTTTAATAATTACTATTTCTCACTATCACCATACCAAGATTACCAAATATCATCAGAATCATCGATATTTTTTTAAACAATCAATAACGAAGAAATGGCCTGGCCGATCTTTGTCCAAAACTAATCAGCACGATTCGTAAATGATTCTTTTCGAATAGTATTTGAATTTTCAAAACCAAACAGAATTTTTGGCTTAAACGCGGCCTAATAATTTTGCAATTTTAAATAAATGCTTCTCATCGTCCTCAACGAGATACATTAAAGTATTGCTTTTCAATTTTTAAAATTGGTTCAGCCGTTTCTGACAAAACGTCGACAAGTCAAAAATAAGCTCACATACACACAGCCTTACATACACACACAAATTTTTTTCATATTTGGTCTCATTTGATTCAGAATTACTTGAAATGTCAAGAAAACCTAAAATTGGCAAATCATCATACAATAATTAGCGTTTATTAAGACATTGGCGTGCTAATTTTGTAGCTACTATTTTTTGATAATTTCTTGTTATTAAAATATTAAACCAAATTTAAATAGTTTTTTGAAACATGCATAAATGATATTAAAAATTTAAATCAATTTATCAAATTGTGACACAAATTCAAGATTCTACCATTTAATATATATATATATATATATATATATATATATATATTTTGTATGATTCTGAATTTGATGTTGACATATGTATTAACAAAGTCTAATAATCGGGCATAACATCAATAAAAAACATGAATTTCTTTCAAAAATTTATTTTAAATCCATACGTTTCGGCTATAATCCTAGCCTTCATTCAGTGGAAACTAAAAATAAAATTAAAAACTAAAACAATTGAATTGGAGTGAAAAGAAAAAATAAAATAGTAATTAGTACTTACAATTAGTTGATCTTAGTGTTAATTTGGAAAACTTTAGTAATCCATGGTATTAGGATATGGTAATGCACTACACTATGTATTATAAACATTAACTTGAAATTACACAATATTTTCACAAAATACTGATTTGAAAAAATCACAAATGGATAGTGTGTTATTCGTAGACTGGTTGAAGATGTAATGGAGAAAGACATTTTTCTAAAAAATATTTTTACCAAGATTCTGCACATGTGTGGAACGAATTGTAAAACCTTCGCGCGAACGCTTTTATTGTTTTGTAAGAAATTTGGAAATGTTATCTAAATAGAAGAGATTTGTGTCGCACAGCGTGTTGAGTTCATTCCGTTTATTTATTGTCTTATTGTTATAAATAGTTAAAAAAGATCCCTCTATAATTCTTCGTTTAAATAAATTTTGTTCAAATTGTAGTACAGTCGGATTAGAAAAGTCCATATTGTGTTTTAAAGTGTATATATGGTCTGCAAGAACTGTTTTGAATTGTTTGGGGTTTTTTGAATTGTTTTTATGTTGTTGTAACCGTTTATTGAGGTTCTGGCTAGTTTCTCCTATGTAAATTAAATTACAGTCTAAACAATTGATTTGATAGACGAGATTTCTGAGTCGTTCAATATTAAATGGGGTTTTTGTCTTGGTAAAAATAGTGCTAGTAGTTGTACTAAAATTGGTTACAAGTCGAAGTCCAGATTTATAAAAAAGTTTTTTCCAAGGAACATACAATTCTTTAATGTATGGCAAACATATTACACCAGAATGAGTTTCTGAGTCAGGTAAATCGTTATGTACTGTGCAATTGTCCATTTTATTCAAAAGGTACGTTCGTCTGTTACTAGTTACGGAATTTATAAGTTTTAGGGGATAAGAGTTATCTGTTAAAATTTTTGTAATTAATTTGATGTTGTTGTCCCAAAATGTTTTGTCCGATAGAAGTATTGCGTGGTCCGTTAGATTTATTATAGTACCTATTTTCATTTTGAGTGGATGATAAGAAAAGTAATTAAGGTAGCGTCCGGAATTAGTCGGTTTTTGGTACCAATTTGTTATTAGTTTGTTATCTGTAGTACGTATAAGTTTTATGTCTAAGAAACTGATCGAGTTCATTGTAAATTTTAATTTTTTATTGACGTTATTAAATTGATCAATTATCATAGTGACATCATCACTAGGGATACAAGTGATAATGTCATCTACATAACGGTAATAAAAAATATGTTTATTGTAATTTTTGAAAATTGTATTTTCAAGGAGTTGTAAGGATATTTCTGCTAGAGATGGACTTGCTGGGGACCCCATTGGCGCCCCAAAAATTTGATAATAGAAAGAGCCATTGAATTCAAAATAAGTATTAGAGACAATGAACTTGACGGTTTCCCTGAACCAGTGTAAAGATAAAGAAGTCAACGGGGAAATTTCATTCCATCGGATTGTTATTGCGTCTAAAATAAGGTCTAGAGGTACATTAGTAAAAAGTGAGACTACGTCTAAGCTAATTAGTTTGTAGTTGTCTGGTATATAATTTATCTTGTGTTTTAAGTCAGTAACGAGTTCATAAGAATTTTTTATGTAGTGTGGTGATTGTTTTGTTATTGTAGTTAAAATGTTACTTATGTATTTTGAGAGTTTATATAGGGGAGTATTAATGTCGGAAACTATTGGTCTAAGAGGTAAATTATTTTTGTGGACTTTGGGAAGGCCATAAAGTCTGGGAAAATATGGGTGTAAATTTTTCAGGTCAGAAGTTATCTCTTTTGTTAGTTGTTTGTTTGTTGTAAGTTTGTCTAAAAATTTATGGCACGTGCGGTTTATGTAGTCAGTTGGATCGTTATTGGTAATTTTGTAAGTATTAGTGTCAAGTAATAATTCAGATATTTTATTTATATAGTCTTGCTTGTCTATGATAACAGTGATGTTGCCTTTATCCGCTTTAGTGACCACTATATCCGGATGATTTTTGAGAAATATTTTGCATGCTTTAAGGTCTCTAAGAATATTATCGTAAGTTGTATTTTTAGTATTGAAGGAATTAATATGTTGGATGAATTTTTTACAAAAAAGATTTCTAGTGTGAATTTTAGTTTTCGGATCTTTAATTTGTTGTAAACCGTATTCTAAATTACTAAGCAATTTAATAAAGTTAAAATTACGACAAGTAGCAGGAACTGAAAAATTGGATCCTAAAGCGAATATGTACAATAGTCTGTCTGGTATGTCGATAGAAGAATAATTTTTTAACCATTTATCAATAATATTTTTATCTAAAATTATTTTGTTATTTTCTAATTTGTTTTGTAATAGTTTATTAAATTTGTTAGTATACGAAAGTTTCAAACTATTGAACTGTTTGTTGTTTCTAATTGTTTCTAAATATAAAAAGTTTTCAAAAATATCGATTTCTACTGTGCGACACAACCAATTTGTGATTTTTTCAATCGTGTTTCTAAAATTACAAATATTTTTGATACACCTGTTAATTGTGAGTGTAATGTATTTTAAACTAACTTTTTGTAAACTATTGTATTGGGAATTATTACTAATGAATTGGAATTTTTTAATGTCTATTTCGTAAAATTTAGGAACAATTTTTTCTTTGCGACATCTTAATAAGAACACTTGTTTGTTGAAATTTATGATAAGTTTAGAATTGAGCTTAGAAATTTTTTTAAATTGTGAAAAAATGTAAAACCCGTAATTGCGCCTAATAAATTCAAAAAATGACAGGTTGTGATCTGCAAAATGATTTTGCTTTCCTTGTAATCTCCAATTGTTGTGCTGTAGAGTGACCATTTTCCTATTATAATGACGTAGTGGTTCCATGGATAATAATTGTGTAGTTGGAATTTTAGTATTAACAGGTGTATCAAAAATATTTGTAATTTTAGAAACACGATTGAAAAAATCACAAATTGGTTGTGTCGCACAGTAGAAATCGATATTTTTGAAAACTTTTTATATTTAGAAACAATTAGAAACAACAAACAGTTCAATAGTTTGAAACTTTCGTATACTAACAAATTTAATAAACTATTACAAAACAAATTAGAAAATAACAAAATAATTTTAGATAAAAATATTATTGATAAATGGTTAAAAAATTATTCTTCTATCGACATACCAGACAGACTATTGTACATATTCGCTTTAGGATCCAATTTTTCAGTTCCTGCTACTTGTCGTAATTTTAACTTTATTAAATTGCTTAGTAATTTAGAATATGGTTTACAACAAATTAAAGATCCGAAAACTAAAATTCACACTAGAAATCTTTTTTGTAAAAAATTCATCCAACATATTAATTCCTTCAATACTAAAAATACAACTTACGATAATATTCTTAGAGACCTTAAAGCATGCAAAATATTTCTCAAAAATCATCCGGATATAGTGGTCACTAAAGCGGATAAAGGCAACATCACTGTTATCATAGACAAGCAAGACTATATAAATAAAATATCTGAATTATTACTTGACACTAATACTTACAAAATTACCAATAACGATCCAACTGACTACATAAACCGCACGTGCCATAAATTTTTAGACAAACTTACAACAAACAAACAACTAACAAAAGAGATAACTTCTGACCTGAAAAATTTACACCCATATTTTCCCAGACTTTATGGCCTTCCCAAAGTCCACAAAAATAATTTACCTCTTAGACCAATAGTTTCCGACATTAATACTCCCCTATATAAACTCTCAAAATACATAAGTAACATTTTAACTACAATAACAAAACAATCACCACACTACATAAAAAATTCTTATGAACTCGTTACTGACTTAAAACACAAGATAAATTATATACCAGACAACTACAAACTAATTAGCTTAGACGTAGTCTCACTTTTTACTAATGTACCTCTAGACCTTATTTTAGACGCAATAACAATCCGATGGAATGAAATTTCCCCGTTGACTTCTTTATCTTTACACTGGTTCAGGGAAACCGTCAAGTTCATTGTCTCTAATACTTATTTTGAATTCAATGGCTCTTTCTATTATCAAATTTTTGGGGCGCCAATGGGGTCCCCAGCAAGTCCATCTCTAGCAGAAATATCCTTACAACTCCTTGAAAATACAATTTTCAAAAATTACAATAAACATATTTTTTATTACCGTTATGTAGATGACATTATCACTTGTATCCCTAGTGATGATGTCACTATGATAATTGATCAATTTAATAACGTCAATAAAAAATTAAAATTTACAATGAACTCGATCAGTTTCTTAGACATAAAACTTATACGTACTACAGATAACAAACTAATAACAAATTGGTACCAAAAACCGACTAATTCCGGACGCTACCTTAATTACTTTTCTTATCATCCACTCAAAATGAAAATAGGTACTATAATAAATCTAACGGACCACGCAATACTTCTATCGGACAAAACATTTTGGGACAACAACATCAAATTAATTACAAAAATTTTAACAGATAACTCTTATCCCCTAAAACTTATAAATTCCGTAACTAGTAACAGACGAACGTACCTTTTGAATAAAATGGACAATTGCACAGTACATAACGATTTACCTGACTCAGAAACTCATTCTGGTGTAATATGTTTGCCATACATTAAAGAATTGTATGTTCCTTGGAAAAAACTTTTTTATAAATCTGGACTTCGACTTGTAACCAATTTTAGTACAACTACTAGCACTATTTTTACCAAGACAAAAACCCCATTTAATATTGAACGACTCAGAAATCTCGTCTATCAAATAAATTGTTTAGACTGTAATTTAATTTACATAGGAGAAACTAGCCAGAACCTCAATAAACGGTTACAACAACATAAAAACAATTCAAAAAACCCCAAACAATTCAAAACAGTTCTTGCAGACCATATATACACTTTAAAACACAATATGGACTTTTCTAATCCGACTGTACTACAATTTGAACAAAATTTATTTAAACGAAGAATTATAGAGGGATCTTTTTTAACTATTTATAACAATAAGACAATAAATAAACGGAATGAACTCAACACGCTGTGCGACACAAATCTCTTCTATTTAGATAACATTTCCAAATTTCTTACAAAACAATAAAAGCGTTCGCGCGAAGGTTTTACAATTCGTTCCACACATGTGCAGAATCTTGATAAAAATATTTTTTAGAAAAATGTCTTTCTCCATTACATCTTCAACCAGTCTACGAATAACACACTATCCATTTGTGATTTTTTCAAATCAGTATTTTGTGAAAATATTGTGTAATTTCAAGTTAATGTTTATAATACATAGTGTAGTGCATTACCATATCCTAATACCATGGATTACTAAAGTTTTCCAAATTAACACTAAGATCAACTAATTGTAAGTACTAATTACTATTTTATTTTTTCTTTTCACTCCAATTCAATTGTTTTAGTTTTTAATTTTATTTTTAGTTTCCACTGAATGAAGGCTAGGATTATAGCCGAAACGTATGGATTTAAAATAAATTTTTGAAAGAAATTCATGTTTTTTATTGATGTTATGCCCGATTATTAGACTTTGTTAATATATATATATATATATATATATGTATATAAAATAAACAGTTATTTGGATTTTGAAGATTTAATGAACGATAATACTATAATAACATTGTAGAAATAAATGGCAAAAATGACAAAATAACACTTATCATTGTTTGACATTAAAAATATTTGGACTGTCATCTGCTAGAAATGTCAATTTACTTGAAATTTGAATTTAGCTGAAATTATGAGCCTAGATAATATTGGACTAATAATATACAAGAAAAATGTAATATCTACATTATTATTGTCAAAAAGCACCTGAGATGTGCCAGAAATTAAAATAATATAAGATACAGTCAACAGTTTATATTTGGCAGATGAAATTATATAAATCAGTTTAATAAATAATACAATAAGTCCAAAATTGCATATACATTATTTTTTAAACTTATGCATGTCATAATTTGGTTTACTTTACTAAATTATTTACCAAATAATACAAAAATATATTTCTACTTATTAAAGAAATCATTTAGAATTTTGTTTTATGTGTCAATCATTTGGTTGACATTCGATATCGAATATTTAGCAAGTTGATTTTAAAGAGCGCTCATATGAATTAGATTTTACAAATTAATTCACCTAAGATTTGAACATAAACAATAATCTTTATTAAAATATTAGTAACAAAAATGTACTTTAAAAATTATAATTGCCAAAAAGCAACTGATATATTGTACGAGCTTTATAAATTATTGACTAAATTATTGTTGCAATTATGTGGTATGGTAAAATGAAGTGTGATATTGTTCTTTTACCGCAGATACTATTTTATTTTTTTCTGAGTTTCTTATATTGCTTATGCTAACACCATGAATGAATCATAAAATCATGACATCAAATAGGATATTAAAAAGTATAGGATAGGATATTAAAAATTTTAATTGAATTGTAATGGTGGGTACAAGACAACGTGTGTTGGATCATCTAGTGTAATATATATATATATATATATATATATATATATATATATGTATATATATATATATATATATACAGTAGAATCCGCTTAGTATGACATCGAAGGGACGCCGAAGTCTCGTCATACTTAACCGGTCGTCATACAAAGCATACTGAAGAAAAACTTTTTAATATGTAAATTTGTTACATGTTTCAGTAATTTAAAAGAAAAGTCTATACATACAATTTAATTAAAAATAAAAATGACACATATTAAAATTCAATATAAAATAAAATTGGCATAGGGCAGGGCGGGGCACAAAGGTCCAATTTGACTTTCAGTATTTATACTGTCTAAACCCAATGAACAACCTTGCAACACATAACACACATCAAACAAGCATCTATCGAACTATTTACAGAAAAAAAATTCACATAATTCCTAATTATATAAATATAATTTTTTTACTGTTTTTTCTAAATTTGGTATCTGATGCAATTTCTTCTATTAAATTAAAGGGATTTTATGCTACATTATTGAATCAATGCAAAATATTAATAGTATATTACATTGATCTGCTATTCGTCAGAAATATTCATCAGATGAGCCGGAATAACAATTTATTTAATTAATCTCTTGTAAAATTGCTTTTTTTTAAACTTTGCTATTTTATTGCTTACACCTTTGCCAAAGTAAAGGTTCAGCTGGTGCTTTTCATCCCACTCATGTGCTGCTTATCTTCTGATAGCAAAGTCATAGGAATAAAGGTAATGGCTGGTTATGATTTTATACATTTTTTGCCCTCTATCAAATATTTTTGTTAAAAAAAATCTAATTTCATTTCTTTACGAGATATCCGTGGTGGACCATTAATAATTGGTCTACCTTACCCATAAACATACAAATGTGATTTTTTAATGTAAGTTATCAGTAATTTTTGATTCATTTCTTTACATAATTTTATTGCAAAAACAGTCCCTGGTGCTATTGTGCACAAAAGACATAGCAATTGCTTTCGTAGACTTGGCCACATCATGTAAAATCATGTAGGTCATTATAATTGGACATTGGACATTTTTTTTGCAAAAATGTGTCATTATAAGCGACATGTCAATGTAAGCGATGTCAATATATCCGACTAGACAGCTGTTTTTTCAAGGAATTTTATATGGAAACCAAACTTCCTAGTGCGATTACGTCATAATAAGCAGTTGTCAATATATCCGGGGTCATAATAATCTGATTCTAGTGTATATATATATCAAATTATTTATTTATTTATGTCTCAATCTCTTCAGTAATTTTACTTCAAATAGATTTGCAGCTTATTTTTAAATTATTTATTTCCTAAATCAGGAGAAACCTATGATCCTCAACAAGGTACCAGCACCGATAATAATAATTCTGAAAAAGGCAACAATTTTCAAATATACCGAGTGACACAATTGAAACCAATTCTGAGCAAGGTATGCTGTCAACCCAGGCCATGATATAAATGTTCTACATTTTTTGTTTGACAACTCAAAGTTGGCTTTGAATTTATAAATTCTTTTGTTTATTAAATTAAAATTTTGTGTACAATTTTATTTCATTTTATAAAAACTGTCAAGTTTTATCTGATCTTTTTAATATTTATATTTTTGTAATCTTAAAAGAAGTATTTGAAATATTAATCGACGGAATGAATTTGTTGGTACAGGTATATAATATGTTTTAGTAGATTTTTTTATTATAAAATTTTAATATGTTTTCAATTTTAAACTAGCCATTGAAGCCAGGACAGAAAAAATCTAAGACTAGCGAGAACTTTCCTCGAACTGTTTCTTTTGGTAATGTCGTTTCCGTTGGTACCGGCTCCATGTATGTTGAACCAGGCAAAGGTTTGAGAAGCACTAAAGACCGACTTCCTACCCCAGTCGTGAGTTTTTTATATATAAATAATTTTTAGTATATTTATTATATTTTACTATATTGAATAGTAGCCGGATTTTAGCAATGTGAATTATTTTATTAACATATTTTTTTATTTAATTTTAATTTGAAACCACTTAGCAATATTTAAAATATTGCTATTAATTATTAATATTAAGATAAGATACAGTATAGATAAGAAATGTCCCATGCATTATTATATAGTTAATATTCGATCTATTCATTTATATACAGTATGTTATATATAAGTAGTAGCTGTATTGAGCTAGTTTCACATTTAGGCGTATTTTGGTATAATATGTGCTTAAAATGTACTTTATTTATCAATTATTAATTATTATTATTTATTTTATTATCCACAGTGTAACAATTTATTTTTAATTGAAGTATGTTGATATTATTATAATAATTATGGGTAGTATTCCCCGAGGGCAGGTCCGTGAGTTGAGTTAAACTCCAACTCGAATCATGATTTGATTATATTCATATTTATTTATTGCATAGTATTTTTACAATATAATATCATTTTTTTTAAAAAAGTATATGCCTGATCCTTGCATAAAACTAAAATTGTAGCTTTTAGAAAATTTTCTTTAGAGGACTTTGGTTTTCTATTTTGTTATATATACTCGCAGGGCCGTTTGTAGGGTCCTCAGTGCCCGTATATCATTTTTTTTTCTTACCTTCCCTTTACATTTTGCTTATTTATTTTTTGAATTTTATGCTATTTATTCTTTTGAGCAAATCATGCCAAGAGAGAAAAGAAAATTCTAGCCCTTCATTATACATAACTCGTACTTGAGGTTGAACTTTTTTAATTTGATTTTTTCATTATTTAGATTATCTAAATTGCATCGTATACTTCTCCTAATTGATATCGTAAGAGCCGAATTGTATGTATTCATTTTTACTTTCATATCGTGTATCAGATTGTTGTTTTAAAGTTAAATTTTTAACGCATTTTAAAAGTATTTTTCAAAGATTAGTGGAAGATGCAAAGTAATTATATATTTTTCGAATGATATGGAAAAAACTATATTATAAATTTCATATACGGTAAGACCGGCCCTGCATACTCGTATATATATAATATAATATAAAATATAATTTGTACTATTAGAATTTAAGACGATAATTATGATTGCTTTATGACATTTTTTTCCAAATAATTTGAATATAAAATTAGAATAAATCGTACAAATTTATCAATTCATTTTGCATGATGTCGCATTCTACGTTTGCAGACTTCTTTAGAAACTCTTGCAGCAGCAGTTTCTTCGGTTCCGTGGAATCCTTTACTGCCAGTTCCCGATGCGTTTTTGCGCAGCTCTTCCACCAGTCATGTGCCGGCTACTCCACCGTCTTCAAGGATATCGTCAGCTTATATACCGCGCCGAAAATTATCCACGTGCCGCCGCCCCTCTTCACTGAATTTAACCAACAAGTCGTCGAAACGATTTGGAATAACTTGTTCGCCAGAAAATTTGTACGGCAGCTTGTTTGATGAAGAATATTTACGAGATAAGCAATACAGTGAGAGCAGCAGTAGTAACACTAAAGTTAATACCGATGACGAACTGTCGGGGACTGGTGATTCTTACCAATCCACGTTTAAAGCCAGTGCTAGTGAATCATGTGCGACAAGAAAAAGTTTTACACACAAAGGGCCCTTGCAGTGTCAGCGGTCCAAGAAAACTTGCCTCGACGCCGTATTGTATTCTGAAAGTTCGCACGCTGCACTAACATATGTGCTTTCTGAGGCTGAAGGGCTTCTATTAGATATCACATTAGATCGTGTCAGAAGAAAGTTAGGATCACTGGTACGTGAACGATTAGAAAATGGAATAGATATACATACCAAAAAGTTATTCAGAGATTTTGCAGGACAAAATAAAAGTAAGTTTTTTGAATATATTTTTACTATTTACGACAACCCTATATACAAAAATAATATCATGCTTTGTATTCACGTTTACACACAATGTTTAACATGTTACAAATAAGTAAAAAATAAATGTCGATTTTCAAGACCAGTTCAAGGAATGTTAAACAATATAAAGTGATGAAAAACACAAAAACAAGAATAGTTAAATTCTCAGTAATATATGATGTTAAACAATGTTTATTATATATATATATATATATATATATATATATATATATATATAATGTGTGTGTGCGTGCGCGCGTGTGTGTATGCTGAACTTTATTGGGAACATTTTTTACAGGATTTATCATGCTGAGTGCTGCCACCAACTTAAGCGACGCAATTATGCGCATGGACGCCAAAGATATACTTGATGCTGTAGAATTACGTTATGCAGCTGACGCAATTATTTATGAGATGCTTGGACCAGAAAAATGTGCGATGATAGCACGAGAATCTCGCTGGACACAGGGTAAAGATTTGATTAGTCTTTTAAATAATTCAGAAATAGAAGAATGCAAAATGCGAGAAGCTTTAGGCCGGCATAATTTAATACCCGTCGATCAAGACAAAGTTAAGTCAAAACCAGAAAAATTGCCCAATATCAAGCAGAAAGATAGAGTAAAGTCGGCTAGAGAGAAAACAAGGCAGTTTGCAAAATCTGCTCATGATACATTTAAAAGAGTTGTTAGATCTGGGAAAGATAAAACAAAAACACCTAACGTAAAAAGTGATACCAAAGAGGTGTGCAAAGAAGAGAAACGTGCTGAGGCTGAAACAGAAAGCAAAGAAAGATTTATAAATTGTTCTAAATTGGGAAACAAATCAGCAAAAGATGTTAAAATAGCAGAAAATGGCAAATATACAGGAAATGATATGTTGGAGCAAGAGAAGTCAGGTACCAATGTGTCACAACAGGAACTGGAAAAGTTGCCGAAAGCCAATAAATCGAACTGGTTTAATAAATTGTCCCGAAAGAAGTCAAAAACTTTGATCAAATCACAAGATACAAAACAACTAGAAATCGACCCACAAAGTACAAGTAGCCACCAGGAAAAACAAAAGCTATTAAAAGGAAAGGAGAAGGGAGTGGTGAAAATATCAAAATCCAAGCTTATCGAGAGTGATGCGATTAAAACTGAAAAATCTAATACGGCTAACCGCATTGATGTGCAAGATTCATTGGTTAACCTCCTCAAAATTGCCGATTACTTACCAAAAACTGGATTTGAACAGAAGGTTGCAAGAAAACAGTTGGAACTGCAGAATTCATCACGAGAGATCGAAAGAAGAATGAAAAACAAAAGTAAATTATTTCGGAAATCTGCGAATGAACCGACAAAACCAGAATGTAACAGCCCCAAAGAAAATATAAAGTCAACTGTTGATCAACAGGGAGAAGTGGTTAAAACGGGCTCTGAAATATTGAGTGAGGAATTAGTTACCGATCTAGTCAACACGGCTGTCAAGGTGAGTGGCGAAAAGAATATAGAGCTATCTGTGAATGATGATTTACATTTTATTGTTTAGAATTAAGTGTAATTATAAATAAAAAAATGTGATTGTACCGTGTTCCGTTGTACCGCGTTGTGTATTAATATTATCATTTTAAAATATATAATACTTACAGTAAAATGTATCTTCTGTTAAATTGTCATCTTCGTTCATCTTTAACCTTTAACCTGGTTTCGCCGGTTTCTTTCATGCTTAAGAATAATAAAATCAGAATGAATTATGTGATGAACCAGAAATTTTAATTGACTTACATGATTGTGTGTCTCAAATATTATTTAAGTCATCTAGATATCATCTATTGATATAGTCCACTTTTCCATTTATCGTAATGGTTTTCGTAACAATTTTCCTTAAGGGGGTATTCTAGTGTAGAGCGATGAATTTTAGGTCATTTTTAAAGTGTCGTAAAAGAAAGCAATGAATGTTTTTACTATCCATATTTTTACCACTTGTTTATTAACATTATAAAAATACAAAACAAAAATTAGAAAATAAAAAAGTTGAAAATTGTAAAAACCTGCAGCTGATAAAGTGGGTGATCTCAAAAAATTGGCACCTCAGTCCTGACATGATTTCAGCCCTCCTAGCCATCGGAAATGCAAAAAATAAAAAGATTATTAATCTACAATGATGTCGCAATCGCCCGAACTAGCGATGAGTAAAAATTTTTTTTTACAAATTGGCGACTGTTTTAAAGTAAAGTGTATTTTTACTGTTTTTTTTTGAGTTTCTCGAATTTTTTAAAAATAGTAAAACTTAGAATTTGGGGATAATCCTAGTTCGGACTATAGATAGCTTTATAAATAAAACTCTCTGAACATCTCAAGTGAATCGGTCGGTTAAAACTCGAGAAATCGTGTCAACAATACTAAAAAAGTCTCTTCTGAGAAAAACGCATTTAAAGTTTTGCGAGAAGCCAAACCAGTATGGAGACCGAGTCAGTAAAATGCCTATATTTCCGAAAATAATTCAAATTTTTAAAAACCTTCTCGTACCCATATTCTTAGATAGTTAAACTTTGAAAATATGAAATAAAAAAAAATCGATTTTTTTTAATTTCTACACTAGAATACCCCCTTAAATGTAGGATTCAAGGTTTGCCAAATGTATAATTTTAAATAAAATTCGGCTTAGAACTTTGGTTATAGTGGCTCTCATTTTTTGTGTGATCGTACATCTTTTACGTGCATTAACTATATTTCTCAGTGTATCGTATACAAAAATTATTGCTGGATCAAACTTTAAACTTCCCAAAAGGGAAGTTAATATGTTCACCAGAAAATACGCTTTCCAAATATTATGCTTTTTTGGCGCTTCAAGTGATTCTAAATTATTCGACCCTAAATTTTAAAAAAAAAATGGGTATACATGGTCATGTTTTTGACCGTTTGTCGATGATCCTCAAAAACGGCTGCACAGGTTTCAAAAATTTTAAAATCATTTGATGTTACTCGAGCTGGACCAAGGTTGATTAGTTTTGTAAGTCACTCGGGCAAGTCATTTCTTTAGTATTTACAGAAAAGTGCAGAATTATTTATCAACGTTTTTGCAAAAACTTCTCAACCGATTTCCAACCGTAATTTTTCAAAAATAAGTATGAATCTTGTATGACGATTTCATAGTTAGATCTAACATACTATACTATTATGGGCCTACGATGTGCGATTGAATTATAAAACTTTGGAATATTAAGCTTAGCATCAACCCCACGCATACTCCACTTGGTTTTTTAATACTAGTACTCTTGATTTTCGAACTTGAATCAAAATGATTAAGGGAATGATTCTGCCATAAAATAGACCAATGTTCTGGTAATGCTATGTTATGTAGCAGTTTTTATATAAAGAGGTACTAAAAACTGTCAAAATCTGAAGTGATTTCTAACCTACAAAACGCACAAATGTCCAAAAAACGATGTTATCACAACTGAATCTTTGAGATATGGCTTGACAACATACGAGTGAAGTTGCATTTTACACGTAAAACGCCTGATCGCACAGCAAATATATGGCATTTTGACAGTATTTAGTAACATTGCCATAACATTAGTCCGTTTTACGGCAGAATCGACTCATAAATTTATAGATTACGGATACAAGTGAATTGAAAGAAGATAATTGAATATTTAAACCTCAATTCATATAGATGAAGTCAATTATTTACACGTGTCGGAAAGTTCACGCAACTTGCCTTAAGGTAAGATGACACTTACAACTAGTAATTTCAAATTAGTATATAGATGTTTGTACAGATATGACATTGAATGAGTTCGGCTTGTTCGTCACGGGCTTTTTTATTTTATCATTTATGGTGTGTCTTGCATTCGAATCGGCTCTGGTTTTTCTCCCCTTAGTTTTGCTTCGACTGATGAGGGGCGGCTCAAAATATCGACCGGTTGGCAACCCTTGAACTTCTCAAATAACACATTGAAATCACTACACACGCACATTGTTGCATTATATCGTGCTGGCCACAATATGTCGATATGCACCATACCTATTACCTGTGCTAAGGTAGTATCACAGTTTATACTAATCAGGAACAGATATGAGTAAATTCTAAACAATAGTTGGTGTACATGATGTCGATTTCATAATTTATTTCGGCAATAAATTGAACTGCACTAAATATTAAACTTTGTTGTTCTGGACGTATGACACCACTAAACTTGTTGATCGATAATATAAAACATTTAATTAAAATAAAATATTATAATAAAATTAAACAAAAATACAGTAGAGGTTCTCCCTCTTACGCTTCACTTAGCTTAATTAAAATAAAACAATGAAGCTAAACAAGAGATCTTGGTATAATAGCGGCTGTTATTGTTTGCGTTATCTTTTGTATTAGATTGTAGACAAGGTCAGTAATTCATAGTAAATTCGCATAAGTTCCGATAAACGAATTTGAAATATGTAATATTTACATGATATGGGCTGTGTACGGAAATGTGTACGCATTTATTTTTAACCCTGTGTGCTGTCGAACCATTATATAAATGTATTATATTTTGTCCGATATGTGTGTGCTAATCCATACAGGCGTCATGCAATCTTATATACATATTAAAAGCATAGCAGAGCTGTCCATATAAATAATAGTTTCTGACTTGAAAACCGTATTTAAATTTTTTATTTAAATTCTATAAAAAACTATAGTTACGCAGTTCAAAAGAAACAACAAAGTGCATTTCGTTATAAAATTTGCGAATTTAACACTTTCGCTTTTTAAGATATTTCCATCATTGTCAATGAAACTGTGCTAAAAAATTCAAAATTGCGCTTCTGATAATCTAGAATTCTTAATAGTTTAACTGATAGTGATAAATGTTGAAGCAAAGGCACAACATGTCGTCCATAGATGACATCCGTACGTACAGCACATCGTACGTAGCAAATGAGGTAATATATACATTATAGTGTAGCAACAAATGTTAAAATTGATGACAAATAAATTGGTGCCTAATAATTATACAGGTACAATAAATTTAAAGTATAGTAATTAATTATTACATTAAATACTGATATTTGTTTTTTTATATTTGTCATCTATAAAATTTTAATCATTTTATGAGTACACCAAAAAAAAACAAAACTTAACCCAACAGATTACTGTAGTGAAGGGAATTTTCAATTAATCCTAGATATCATGTGATAATTAACATCATTTAAAAGTATGTGTTGCTAAGATTTAATTTACACTTTAAAATGATTTTATTTAATACAACATAACAAAAATATTAACTAGTGTATGGTATCGTGTTAGTGGGACTTTCCGTATCGTAATTAAACATTTTAAAAAGCTCACAAAACAAAAATTAGATTTTTTTGAGAGTTTTTATTTTTTTAAACATCTTTGAAAAATTGAAAAAATAGCTTTTTTGAAAATACTTATAATTGTTGAAAACTATTTTTTAAATATTGTAATTTCTTGAAAGTTTTTGATGCCCTTTCATGTCGGTTGATCCAGACTATCAAAATCTGATTTTTGCCGCCAAATGGTATTATTTTAAACTTTTTTTCGGGATCTCGGAAACCACTGCACATGTCTTTGCGAGAATTCAATCAATTCTTTATTATGTCAATACAAGTAGAATGTTTATTAAATCGTGCAAATTTAATTGCCATTTCATGCGCTGTTTGCTCCGTATCTCCGAAACGGCTGGACCAACTTTTGCCAAAAACTAAAATAAGAATAATTCAAAACGGTTAATCCGTTTTACCAAAAACGTCAACAAAAAATTGTACCATACAAACACATACATACTACATACACACATACACATACACACACATCCATTCTTTTTATTCAGAAAACAAGAAATACAAAAAATATTTTTTTTAAAAACAAGAATGTAATGTGTTCAAAAATGTTCATAAAATCATTTTGATAGTTACGTTAGTAAATTTACGAATTTGTATATCGAATATTTTATAACTCTTACTGATAATATTCGGTTAATTTTTATATTGCCGTTTCCATTATTTACGACATCCTCTGACGCATATGCTGTTTGTTTACGAAAGTCGTTATACAAGTTATTATAAAACAATGATATGAATACAGAACGAATTTCTGTTGATGTTATAATGTGCCTAATGTGTTTCTGCTACCTGTTCCTACCGTCTAATCCGACCTCATGACCGCTTCGCTTTTGTTAAATGCGAATTTAAGTCGGTGATAACAACAATATGCACTAGTAGACGTCTGTCTAGTATTAATTTCTTATGTAAATACTTAATTCTGAACGTGTTAAGATATGACGTTCAAAATGAATCATTGCATTGGATTCTTCACACGAAATAAGTATTTTATCTTAATTAAATTATAGTATTATAAAAAATATTTTTCAAGCATATTTGAGCATTCTTAATTTAAATTGTTGAAGAGATTATTTTTTACAGAGATTTAGATACATTGTATCTGTATCTATAAATTTTGATAAATACTGTCTGCGGAGTAAACAAACAGTTGACGTTTCTTTTCAAATAACATGTGCAGTGCAACAAGTACCG